AAACCTCATACCAGCACCAAAACCATAACCAGAATCACCATGCCTATTGCCAAATCTCAAGCCTGACCATTACCAAAACACCATACTGTCAACAAACTCACAAGCATAAAAGTTCAAGGCAATACAGGTGAGGCAACCCAGGCCCTCAGTATGAACATCATCGGGCAATAAAAAGCTTCAGAAGGCATCTAACTCAAGGATCGTTCAAGGGACAAAATCAGAAGAAAGTCAGAAGAAGAGAGGCAAGTTCAAGATAACACAGAACAACAACTCAAGGCATCAGGGGCTCAGGGGAAAACAAAATATTCAAAGGCAACCCACGAGCCCTCGGTACAAACATCACTGGGCAAGTTCATCTCAAAGCATCATATTCCAATCCAACATAAGCAACAAAGAAAGAAGCTATTCAAGGCCCTCAGTGTAAACCTCACAGGGCAACATAAACAATCGTTCAAGGGGCAACAAGAGATACAAGCGTTCAAGAAAGTAAAGGCAACGAAAGAAGAAGAAAGAGTTAAATCAGTACCAAGTTTTCAGGCAAATCAACGCATCATAAAACCTAAGCAAGAGGGTTAATACAGAAATACCGGGGACATCAAGTTCATCAGCATCACGTTTTTTCTCTCTTCACCATCAAAGCCTCCCAGGCACCTCCATCTCCTTCCTTCCCTTCTCCAGTAGAGGTAAGACGCCTCTTTTCCCTCCTCATGTACCTCCAATAAAAAATCCATAACGCACAACATAAGAATTCAAACCCAAACAGTTAATCAATAATACGCAGAAAATCACAAAATATGCAAGAACTAAAACAAACCCTTACGAATCAAAGCGATTACCAAATTCTGTCGCCTCAACACTATCGCTGGAGGGAAGGGGAAACAGAGATTGCCGGTGGCTGAGGCAAGAAGCTCATGATGGACGCTCGAAATCACTAGAAAGCGAAGAAGAACGATGGAACTCAGTGAACGCCGCCGCTGCCTCGCCTAAACCTAATTTTTTTTCCCCAACTGAACTAACAAAACCTAACCCTAAATTTGTTTCCAGTTCAATATGGGCTTTGCCCATTCTGCACCCCCTCTCTAAAGCCCATGATCCTAATTCTTTTCAACAAAAACATTCCATATTAACACAAATTTCTTTTCTTTTTATTATAAAACAACATTTTCTTTTATTCTTTACAAAATCATTTTAATACAAAAATACATTTTTTTATTTACATTCTTTAATATTTACCTTAAAAGGCCATATTATACATTTTTTTATCATATAGTTAAAATATCTTTAAGTATATATTTGTATATAAAACAATAAAATACTTCTTCATACATAAATAACTTGAAAACATTTTTTTTATTAAAATACATTTTTGTACATAATAATAGAAATACATTTTTCTCTAATATTAAACTTCACAACATTTGATTAAAATACTTTTTTGTATATAAACAAATAAAGATACATTTCTTAATTAAAACTTGAACATTTTTTCTTTTTGTACATAATTAAATATACAAATCAAAGATTCGTTAAAATACATATCTAGGTCAAAAAACCCTAATACGCTTCAATTTCACATATCGCACTTGTAAATAATTACACGTATACATCCCACACTTACACTTACACTTACACTTACACAATGCAAATACATTCACATTGCCCTACACACATTTGTTTATCTTATATTTGTATATTCGATATTTACATTTGACAGCGAATTCGATTTGGTTGTAACTTATTGGATACTATAAGTCTCATCCCCTTTGTACATTTATACCCCCACTCCCGGATACTACTTTGTAATAGCGTAGATTTTACATTCCGCCATTTACAGTTTTCCAATTATACCATGGTTAGACCTAGGGTTTGCATGTACATAAAATCAAACGCTAGATAACCTAATACAAGACAAATACATGTAATCAATACACAATCACACTTGCACCCTCTAGGGTAATCCCACATGTTGCCTTCCAAAATGGGCCATGTTTGCACGTCGAGTAGCTTTGGCAAAACAAAATCAAATGATCATAAGTCTCAAAGTGTTGCCTAAACGGAATGATCATAGTCCCTTCAAAGCAAATAGCCAAAGACACTTGGCACCATTGCATTCATGGTCCATACGATGACCCGCGCTCGTCCCGAATAAACTTCCTAAACACAAGATCGTCCACCAATTTCAATGGTGAAACGCAATTGTTAAAAAAGGGGTTAAAACATGACAAAAAACCTTTGAGTACAATAGGGTAGACAAAACTCCTAGTTACTTGAGATCAATTTGCAAAAACACTTGCCTTCTTTTCAAAAACCACAATCCACAACACTTTCAAACAAACTCTCAAAAACATTTGAAAAACATCTTTTCGAAAAGATCCACACTTTTGTAAAACACTCAATCACGAGTCAAATACATTAGTCGCCTAAGACAAGGCATCTTTTTCCAAAACATTTTCAAAAAGCACCCACACACACACCATTTTCAAAGCAATCGAAAAACAAGGCAAGTGATCTAAAAAACCAAGTAACTAAGAGCCCATGGATAACCATGGATGAAAAGGGTGCTAATACCTTCCCTTTTCATAATCTACCCCCCGAACCCACGAAATATCTCAAAAGGTTTTTGCTGTGCTTTTTTAACCTTTCCTTTAGGATAAAATAAAAAGTCGGTGGCGACTCTTGCTCAACCGCACAAGTGCGAATACGAACGCAAAACCTCAAGTCAGTTCTCCCACCGTATCACACCAGCCACAATGCTGATGTCAATCATTTTCCAGTCTCAGTACTGATGTCCATCATTTCCTTTTCCAGTCACAGTACTGATGTCAATCATATGCTTTTCCAGTCTCAGTACTGATGTAAATCATTTCCTTTTCCAGTCACAGTGCTGATGTAAATCATTTCTTTTTCCAGTCTCAACACTGATGTAAATCATTCAAGAGTCTCTCATTTGAAGTCTATGACTCTGTTTCCCCAGTGGAGTTACGACCTCTTCCTCTGTAGGATTACTGTATAATGTGCTTGGTTTCTCCGGCATAGTCTGTCTCATATGGCGTCATTCCCCATAAAATGCAGAGCATTACATTCATATCATATCATGAACATAATCGCGGTATCTTAAGGCCAAAAAATGTGTATCCTATATTTAAGTTCCTTCAATCTCGTCGAAATGAAGATCCCAATCTTCATATCTCCAGATAGAAGAAACTTAAATAGGGGCAGCTGTTGTACCCCAATTTTTGACCTAAGATCCCATTTTTGTTTTGCATCTTTTAAGATAAGTCAAGGTCACGAAATACGGTTGGTTTTAACCTCTCACCTTCAAGCATTGACTATGCGAAGATTGTCAAGTGTTTTGAACATTTTTAGCCTATGTATCACTAATTTCTAATCCATACAAAGGTGTATGTTCATGTTTTCTTTTGCTTCATGTGCAGAGACAGGTCTGAATCAAGAGCATCAGGTGTCGCGCCTCAATTAAGGTTTTGAGTCTCCCAAGCCCGAAGTACGGTTGATTGTGGATTCTCGAAGACTGATTCATCAAGGCACACCGTTGCACCCTTAATTTCGCCCCTAATTTTTTCAGTCGCACATTCATACCATATTTTGTCATTTGGTCACAATCATTAGTAAATATCTTCATTCATCATATTTTGCATCATTAGTCGTATTTAAGTTGACCAGAAAAAGTCAGTTTAAATCAAAGTTTGCATCGTCTTTCAGTTGTAAAATACCCGACATTTCACTTCATTCATTTTTATCTGTTTACTATTTTCTTGCATTGCTCCGAGTTGTTTATATGTCGATAATAAAATATTTCGGTTTTATAGACATACTGTTAAGAGAGATTCGACACTATGCGGGAAATTAGCGAGAAAATATTTCAAGTTTTCACCTTTTACCGATCATTTTATGAATCTGCGTTTCGCGTAGATTATGACGGTATGCTCGCTTTATTTTTTCGGTATAGTTCGAAGTCTCGTTTTTAACCTTAAACGTTTGTTTAGCCTGATATTTTTATTATTATTTTATTTTGATTTTTGACTTCTTGAATATTTTTTCTTTAATCTTTGTGACATGTAGTTTATTTTAATGTGTTTATTTTAATGTGTTCATTTTATTTTTTCGGATAAATTTTCGTCCGTTTTTTTTTATTGTTTTCGGTCATTTTAGCTCTTTATTTTTTATTCAAAAAATATATTTTAAATTGAATTAATTTTAATACTTTCAATTTTTATTTCATTTTTATCATTTAAGGGCTATTTGGTCACAAAAATATATTATTTACACTGTGCTTGATTCTTATTGGTTGTTAGCAAAAATAACGGATCAGTAAATTGAGTTTATTTTGAATGGCTCTGATTGCAATCATAAACCCATCTCCACTTTATTTTTCTATTTAAGTAGCATTATTTCTTTGTAAATGAAAAAGAAAAAACAAAAACAACAACCATTCCCAACAATTCTCCCTTTAATTACCACCCAATCAGCAAGCGCAAACTCCCTCCTCTCAACAAAAGCAACCCAGTTCAACATACAATAACCATTCCTCTAACCACCCTTCTATTTCTCTTATCCCTCTCTCCACAACACAAACCCAACGACTCCTCTGCCTTCAATATCCAACCAAACCACACTATTCAATTACCACCAGCAATCTTCATCCATTCCATTACAATAAACCTCCACAGCTGTATCGCTCATCATTACCGTAATCCACCGTCATCATCTCCTTCCGCCTCCTTTGATTATCCCACCATCATCAACATCTCCTTCCGTCTCCACTAGCTACAACTCCCCCAACCGTCATCTCTCCATTACAGCTCTGCCCCTTCCTCTTAACCTCCAGCGCTAATCTTCCGTTTCCTCACCAACCCACCTAATTCCCTTTTCTTCTTCCTAATCGCGCACGCCATATCCCTTCATCCACCAATCGCCCTTTATTTTCTCCTCTCTATCTCTGCCACACCATCGCAGACACAACGCTAACAGAGAAAACTGTAATGGCGAACGCTACCTTGGAAGATGTTCCCTCCGTCGATTTCATGACCGAGCTACTTCGTCGCCTCAAGTGTTCATCCAAACCCGACAAGTGTCTTATTCTCGTTGGCCCACCTGGATCTGGAAAAGGCACCCAGTCGCCAATCATTAAGGATGAGTACTGCTTATGCCACTTGGCTACCGGTGATATGTTGAGAGCTGCTGTAGTAGCTAAGACCCCTCTTGGTATTAAGGTGAAAGAAGCTATGGAGGAGGGAGAACTTGTTTCTGATGACTTGGTTGTTGGCATTATTGATGAAGCAATTAAAAAAACCATCATGTCAGAAAGGTTTCATTCTTGATGGTTTTCCAAGAACTGTGATCCAAGCACAGAAGCTTGATGAGATGCTGGAAAAACAAGGTACCAAAATTGACAAAGTGCTCAATTTTGCGATTGATGATGCAATCCTTGAGGAGAGGATTACTGGACGCTGGATACACCCTCCTAGTGGCAGAACCTACCATACAAAGTTTGCTCCTCCCAAGGCTCCTGGTGTTGACGATGTTACTGGTCAACCTCTTATTCAGCGCAAGGATGACACTGCAGCTGTTCTTAAGTCAAGACTGGAGGCATTTCACAAGCAAACTGAACCGGTTATTGATTACTATACAAAGAAGGGCGTTGTTTCTAGTATCCATGCTGAAAAACCTCCCAAAGAGGTGATTGTGGAGGTCGAGAAATTGCTCTCGCAATAGAGTTGGATCCTCGGCTTCTCTCCGTCTCGCCGTGAATGTTTAACAGATTGCATCTCCACGTCGACACGATTCGGTAATTTCCGATCTTATCTCAGTTGCATATAATTGTGATGCTGTTTATTTTTGCTTTGTTGTTAAGTTCTGATGAAAAACAGTTTGTTTTTAGATTGGTAATCCACTGATAGTAGCTTGAAATGTGATTTTGAATTTATTCAGTTGAGTCAAAATTGCTATTAAACTATGATAAATTCTAAATTCAATGTCGCTTTAAGTATCGGATTATGCTGAATTTATTGTGTCGGATACCATTCCGTTGGTGTATGTTGAGTTATTACCATGTTTTGTTTGAATTCAATTGAAATTTGTACCGTGATAATTTGTTCTTGTTTTGATTTCAATTGAATTTGTGGCGAATAATATTCATGTTAGTTTCGATGAAGGTGACGATAATGCCTCATTTTATTTGCGTGTAAATCTAACCGAGAAACCATTGAAGACATCATGCTATTTCCTTTTGTTACAAACCATGTTTAAAATTGGAATTTTTGGGACATATTTTATAGAGTTGCTGCCCGGTTTTTTTTTTATCGATTATGGCTCAATTACATTTTGTTTTCCATGTTTTGAACATGTTTTGAGTAGCATGAATAGATGCTAATTGGTTTTTGAATACTCATAAATGGAATGAACATTTGATTTTCGCTTTGAGATTTTTAGTCCATAAAGTTTTTAGTTGCTGTCCAACTTTTGATTTGCATGAATAATGTTTGATTTTTCATGGTTTGAATGGAATTATAGCATGAGTTTCTTTGGTTTTGTTTGTGAATTTAAATTGTTGATAATCATCATTTGTTTGGTTCATGCTTTGAATTCAATTTCTCATGTTGCAAAGTGAGCTTTGGATTTTTGTTTTTCGTTGTGTTTGAAATAGCGGTTGCTTTTGATACACTTGAAATAATGAATGCAATGCTGATTTTTGTGTTTACATTGAATAATGTCATGAATTCTTGATTTTTATTTGTGTAAATATTCATTTATTCATATGCAGCACACAATTTCATTTTTTTACTTACTGACACATGTTTTAACCGTTGCAATTTCCTTCATTTTATACCGCTTATGCTACTAACGAGTTTGTTAACTGTGGAGGTTTCCGAGAACTGTTTCAAGTGTTCGTTCTCGCATAGCGCATTTATACTTTTTTTATTATTCCTTTTTTACCTTACTATTTTAATTTAATATTTGGTATTGTAAATATATACTTGTACATAATATTTTGACTGTCTATTCACTTCACTTGTAAATAAATTCAGGTTTTGAAAATATTATTTTCATTGCATTGTGATTTTGTTTTTAATTCCAACTAACTTCTGAAAATTGTGCGGGCGCACATAAGTTTCCCTGTGCTGTTAGATTTGTCGATATATATATCTTGTGATGCAGGGATTCTTATCTGATACCGTGAGCTTTATCCATCCCCTTTGCGCTTTATCTGATTCCTCTCCTGACACGCTTTTCTCGTATGTGATTTATTTTCACTTGAGGCGCTTTATCTGATGCTTGGAGTATTATCTTACATCAGGTTTTTTGATGCTGTCGGCTTGTGATTTATTTTCACCTGAGGTTTGATATACTCTTAGCTTATTTATCTGTCTGTGGTTTTAAATCCAAGGGAAAGAATTAATTTGTTGACTTCATGTCATCGAGTATCTAATACGATTATGTGAAATCCCTTCATACCTTTTTTTAGTTTTATTAATCTTAAGACGAATCTCCTACAAATCAATTTTTAAACTCACACCCCTTTTTAAGTCAAAACTTCGACATTAGGTTATCACATCTTCAAAATATCTCCAACACCGATTTTTAGCCAAACGAACCATTTTAATCAAAAAACAATTTTAACCAAAAACAGATATTTCAAAAGGTTCCTGCGGAGTACCGCAGATGCATTGGATGCTAATACCTTCCCATTGTATAACCAACTCCCGAACTCTCGATCTATTTTAAAAATGCATTATATTTTCATTACTTTTAAATATTACTTTACATTGCATATTTTAGGGTTTTATTTCGCTCTTTTCCCTTTTCCCTTGGAAATAATAAAGCGCGGTGGCGACTCTTGCTTTTGAGAGTCAAGTTAATTAATAGCTTGATCTCCGATTTTCACCGCTACATAATAAATTGTGAAGGATCTGTCCAGCGTAGACCGACACGGATGAAGCAGTAGCTACGTTGGTGTGACACCTTGGTCTGTACCGATATCCCTTGTGTTGGAACTAGGAGAATATGGGTCTTCTAAGGAGTCATTAAGCACCAACTAACCTTAGATCCTTAAATTGACCAACTTGGCCATAGAACAGTAGCAGTATGCTACACTCATTGAGACTAAACTCTCGCGATGATTCTGGCTGTAAGAAAAGGTTGCTAAACTAGAATTATGACTGATTGAGGGTAGTCAGTGATATTGAGATCCTCTAGAACCCGGTTACTATTTTTAGGACAGGTTTTAACCAACTGAACTGAAAGAGGGTAGTACCTAAGCTTCATGCCAGTCTGAAATCTAAGGGCTCTTTTGTGTGACTTGTGTGCCTTCAAACTTGAACTACTTGCACATACTTATTATCTGACAACATGGGTTCCTTGCAGGTTTTGTTTACAGTCCTCATCCAATAATCTAGATTTGTTGCAGGGCTTACTTACATCACCTCACACTGTTGCTTAAACGCATAGCATTCACATCATAACATCATGCCTTAACATTTCCTTAACCATTTCAAGGATCTCAAGGGTTTGTGATGCAGGTTATGGTAAATCAAATGGCTAGCAAGGGGAAAAGGGGATTTATTTTCCTCTAGCCAAGGTTGTCTAGAAATCCAAACACGATAACTTGAGTCAGGGGCTATGACCCACTCGATATGGTGAGCTTGAATCTTGGAGAAGGACTCTCAGCAACATGAAATTCCTTCAATCAAGCTACCATATTCAAATTCTAACAGTTTCTTGTTTACCCCGCGAGATCCTTGAAAACATTGCATACATATCATTGCATAACAGGTCTTCCAGTACAGGTCTCTCATATTCTCGCTGTTTATTTCAGCAATGGCTCTCCAACAAGACAACCAAGACCTTCACACTCAAGAGACTCAGTTCAGGGAAATCTTCCTAAACCTATCCAAGGGGCAGGAAGAGTTGAGAACACTCCTCATGGGGAATTTGGTCAAGAAAAGTCCTGAAGACAATAAGGAAGAACGGCTGGAACAACTACAAGCTGAGTTCAGTGCCATGAAAAACCAGATGATGGGGCAGATGGCTCTTATCCAAGGCTTAGCTCGGGAGCAAGAAGAGTTGAGAACCATGATCAACCAGCTTCATCAAGACAGATACAACAACATGAAGCAAACGGTCAAGGCTGGGGATCAAATCATTAATCAGCCTCCAAGAAGACAAGAGTTCGGTATGGTGAAGAATGGACATCTCCAAGTTGATACTACCTCAAGGGTCCAACAAAAACCTTGCCATAAACAACGGGTTAATCAGAGGCCGTTTACCAAGCTCAACATGCCGTTGTCCCAAGCTTTGCAACACCTGTTGAGGTTGAATCTGGTGACGTTGGTAGGACCTCATCCGAATCCTAAGACTTCTTCACCCAACTACAATCCTGATGCAAGGTGTGCATACCATTCTAACAGTCTGGGGCGTGATACTGACAAACTGTTGGAAGTTGAAGTACAAAATTCAAAACCTGATTGATGAAGGAGCATTGGAATTCACACAAGATGGTCAGGCTGAGTTCTTCTACCAATCCTCCAAGGTTCACCATTTGAAGTGACAAGTCCTGAGACGAGAAGACTTTTGTTCATTAGAATTTTCAATTTGTAATTTTCTTTTGATTGTTCGAACATTTATTCATGTCAAACTTTGTTACTTTATCAATGCATTGCATATGTCTATTTTGAATCAATCCATTCGTATTCACTATATTAGAATTGCTTTCATATATGTGATGATTAACTCAATTAAAAAATTCTAAGCCTTTTGAGGGAGGATGACGAAAACGATACCACGATCTTTATAGTATGCTTTTAAACAGACCCCGCTGACGATGTACAGGCATTGTTTCTAATCCTAAACAATGGAGTTATAAGGAAGATAATCCCTCGTCAACCCCTTTGAGTCAAAGAAGTTGGAATTTTTCTTTTCACAAATTAAAACCCTTAATTATAACCTGGGGCAGGGTAGTTTTCTCAGTTGATCCAGGTGCACAATGAATGGCATCAGAGGAGTCCTTCCAAAACAAGAGACAGTGATGGTTCCGAATAATCGTAAGGACAGGCAGTCATTATCTCTCAGAAACAAAAGCCCAATAAGTCAAAACCTATGAAGGAGACTTACAAAAAACCTGGGGCATCCCGCTGACTGTAATCACAAAAGAAACAATTCAGGCAAAAAGACAGGGATAACGATATCAAAAAGAAATAGGTCCTACAAACCCTCATAAAAAGGACTGCCTGTTCAAAATAAATTGTCAGTATCCAAACCATCACTGTTATATCAGAGCAAAGATTCAAACAAGATCTAATGCACGATTAGCTGAGTTTAGGATCGAAGAACATCACGATGAACGGGTGGGTACAAATAAAATTTGAGCCTTTATCCTTTGTTTCTTAAACCGTGAACCAGACCACGTTATAACCCTTAAAAGTCCTAGCTGAAGCATGGGTTAGTCCGAAAGCATACTGTTACAAAAGGTATCCTGACTCCTGTAGGGCTTGCTGTACATCCTGAGTTGACATCATATTTTACAAAATTTGCCTGTTTTACTGAAAAAACGCATTTTCAAAAACTTCAAAACAGACATAAGCTTTGCATTCTTAAAATAACATTGTTTGCATATGACTAATTGTTCAACAGCAGAGAAATTCGCACGACGAATATCTAGTGAACAAAAACCTTCTCAATAAAAAGGATCACCTCAAGTGGAAAAACACTTCCAATCA